AAGGTTGTGTCATCTGCCTATCACAGGTTCTTAACTACTCTTCCCCCAATCCTGACACCACTTTCTTCTTCCTATAGTCAAGCTTCTTGGATTATCTGCTCAGCATACACTGTAAGTAAGTACAGTGAAAGGCTACAACCCTGACGCATACCTTTGAAACCCTGCAGTATCCTCTGGTTCTGCTGAACAACTGCTTTTCAGTCTCTGTACAGAGTTTGCGTCAGCACCATTGGAGGAAGCACCGCCAGGCTCCTTAGAAGTGAGGATGGCGAGACTTCATCTCACACACTCTGGACACGTGATCAGGAGGGGCCAGTCCCTGGAGAAGGACACTACGCTTGGTAAAGTGGAGGGTCAGTGAAAAAGAGGAGGCTCCTCAGTGAGAAGTGATGACACAGCAGCCGCAACACTGGATCAAACATCAAGGTGATGTCTTGTCCAAACCAAATTCATGGCAATGCTGATAAAGTTAAACACTTCCAGTTATTCTTTCTCAGTTACCATCTCTCTTCTACACTTACACACTCCCTAACCTTTTATGCCACCTACTTCCCTCTATTCTCATCATAAGGTACAAAAGTAATTCACCCAGTGTCAAGTGTTCCCTAACTTAGGTCTACCAAGATAGAATGCTTTCAAATTGATCTTCAGTATCAGTTCAAAAGCAATTGTTCCCAATGACTAAATTAAGTGGCTTAAAACTAAGTATGCTTAACTTGTTCTCTCTACAGAATGATCACATCATCCACTATGATGGTTCATTTTCTATGTCAACTTTGCTAGGCTACAGTTCCCAGTGGTTTAGCCAAATACTAGTCTAATTGCTGTTTCGTAATATAATGCAATCACCTGCCATAATACAATGTAACATAATGCACTCAATCAGTTGAAAAGGGACTTTCCTTAGGGTGTGTTCTGCCTCCAGATCTTTTGGCATAGCTTGCTCACTCTGTTCATTCTTTCTGTTGCCTGACCTATAGATCTTGGGACACAAACAGGCAGGAGTCTCCAGCCTGCCACATGACCTATCAATTTTGGACTAGTCAATCCCCACAATCTCATAAGCCAAATTCTTAAAATATATAGATAAATATAGATATGTATATTATGTTGTTGTTGTTATGTGCCGTGGAGTCAGACCTGACTCACAGTGACCCCTCCTTGGGTTTCGGAGGCGGTATCACTACGGAAGTAGATTGCCCAACCTTCCTTCCAATGAGTGGCTGGTGGGTTTGAACCGCCAGCCTTCTGGTTAGCAGTCAAGTGCCTTAGGCACTGTGCTACCAGCAGATACAGATATCGCACTGGTTCTGTTTCCCTAGCAAATCCCTAAGGCAGCCCCAGGAATAACTGGAACAATCTTACACACGAGCACTTTGGGGTAAAATACCTCATACCCAGACTTGCTGAAACTATGTTGCCCAAAATATGGTCACATACTGATGAATACTCTGAAGGTTTTGAATAATTTCAAGTCCAACATGCAGATGTTATCTGTGCCTCTAGAACAGAACAAATTGAAATATCATCAAAAAGGACTTCATCTGCTTTGGAATAACCTTATATATACCAACAATTACACAAGAACCATCTATATTCATAGCCCTTCTGTCAAAGTTGGTTTTCACATTCCTCACACTCTGAGAAGCAAGATAAAATATCCCTTGGCAAAAACTAAGAAAACACTGCGATCAAATAATCAACTATAAACACTGGGATCAGAGGAATTTTTAAACTGGGCTATTACTCAACGTCATCATAAAACAGCCTCATTTTTTTTCCTCACAGAAATACTAGGTTTATTTTTCTGACCTTTGCACTGGCCTCAAATAGGACATTTTGAAAAATGACTCTTAATTAAAAGAGCTTTCGTACTATTTAAAAGACCACCAGGGTGTTTTTCTGAGAAACCTCTATTTTTCATCTTGCTACAGTATAGTCCTTTAATCCATTACAGGAAGTCCCTGGGTGGTACAAACAGTTAACACATATGGCTGCTAACCGAAAGGTTGGAAGTTCAAGGTCACCAAGAGGCACCTCAGGAAAAAAGGCCTACTGATCTACTTCTAAAAAACCAGCCAATGAAAATCGTATGGAGCACATTTCTATTGACACCCATGAGGTCACCATAAGTCAGGATCAACAAGACAGCAATTGTCTTAGAATCCATTTACCTGAGAAGTGCCTTCCTGAGCCATTCTCAGTGGGCAAAATTCCAACTTCAATAAGCAAGGGATAGTCATATTATAACAAATTTGAAAATAGCATTGCCAATTCCTCTCTTTAGCATCCTCTGCCATTGCAAAAAATTATTGATCAAAATGTTGATTATGTTCCAAAAGGTTAGACACACGGAGAAAGGACATATTTGGGGGGAAAAAAAATGAGGTGATACACATGAAAAGAAACCACAGGTAGGTGAGCACTATCAGCCACGTCAACAGAATGCAACACTCTAAATATTTTTGCAGAGGGTAGACAGGCTGCCTGAATGATGGGAATTTGGTTTTAACTAGCAAAATTAAATCATGACCATCTTTAGCCAAGTGAACACAAAGAAAATTTTCCAACTGATGCATTCATTTCCTAAGACCCAGGATTCACGGAGTCAAAACCAGCAAACCATCAGGTGAAGTGTATGGAGAAGAGCAGCCCTGAGCTCGTAACACCAGGACCCACAGTCACATTTATTTCGGAGAAAACAGAGGAAGAAGAATGTGTCTGTGCATCATCACAAGATTTCTGTTAGGTCACAGGCCATGGGGACAATCTGCTGCACTTCCCCCCAAACTCCTTGAGTCACAAGGAGGCTTTCGAGTTATTTTCGGGATTTTGAAGGCCACGGTTACCTTTGAAAATCGAGCATTTATCCATTTGGTAAACGTTTTCTTCTGTACGTCATCATGTTCATCTGCAGGAAGGGAAAGAACAGAGAAAAGTATGAGTGTTTGCACCTTTAGGAAAGGTATTAAATAATATGATCTCCATCCTGGAGTATCTGAAATAGTCCCATTAGAAGAACTTAGTAGAGGCACAATGGTCCATAGCTATTGAGAAGTGTGATGGCTGACGGGTTCATTTCTGGAGCCTGTTGACGCCTAGCACTGAGGGAGGCTCAGGCACCTTTCCCAATGGACCTAGCTCTTTCCACCTAAGCACTAGCCTATGGCCACTAGCCATGACACCAGGTTTAGGGGATGGTAATAAGACCTTACTTTCTAAATTTTACATGTCACACTTTTTTGTTGCATTCTGTGGTTCTGAGTAAATTTTCAGCATGATAAAAATTTTAGCATGCTCAAAACACACACTGAAGTGATCCAACAAAAAGTAAGGAATTCAAGATTTGCTTCCTTTTCACACAAGTCTGACAACCCCCAGAACAGAAAGTAGTATAAGGTTTATCATGAATTCTGCAGCCCATTTTCCTGTAGTGAGACCAACATGACAAGGATTAGTGAATATAATTGAAAACACTTGGCAAAGCGTTAACATTTAACTCCTGTTATTGTTAAGTGATTATCATAAGCGTAGTAAATAAGGCAGACCAATAGATACTTGTTTTACCCTTTCTATTACTACAGAATGCAACAGCAAACCATGGATAGCTAAAGGGAAGAATTAACTTTCCAATCATACCCTCTTGACCACTCCCCAATTCTCTATTAAAACCAGCAAAATAGTCAATGTTGGCTGAAAGCCTACGAGGTAGCCTGTGCCCCATCTCTAAGTAGTTCTGGAAGCTTCAGCAGCACCCATCCTTCCAGGCTGCTCCCCCAACCCCCCCATCACAACAGCAAAATAGTAACAGGAAGGCCAGCTTCCACTCCACAGGGCTGCCTCTTACACGTGAACCAAGACTCCTCACTAATATCTCATTACATAATTAAAAGCCCGCCTACTACTTCACCAAATATCTCTGGTCCGTACTAGTATCTCTGGTCCGTACTTCTCTCTGGAAGGAAAATTTGCAACTAAAATGTCATTCCTGGAATAAACAGAGCAGCAGCTCCAGAAAAAGAACGTACTTTAACTGATCCATTAAGGTAACTAGAGATGTTATACAAAGTCACAAAAGGAACGATTGGTATTAAAAAAAAAAGTTTGTTTTTTTTTTTTTACTTTCCAAGAAACATCTTGATTAATTGTGCCCTAAGGTGCCCTTTTCTCCAGAAAGGACAATGTACACAGCACCAGCTCCTGTGTGAGGCTTTCCAATCAGTGTCACACTTAAGTCATTTATAAACCAAAAGGACTTGATTATACCTGCTGAATGTCCTAGGCTTGCCCAACGACACCCAAGAGGGGCAAAGATACATATCCATAATATACAGATGCTGCACACACGGACCTGCAGAGGAGGCTATGCCGGCCTTACAGACAGGAATTTAATATTAGCTATCCGGGCTTGACTCATAGCAACCCTTCAGGACAGAGTAGAACTGCCCCAGAAGGAGATTGCCTCATCTTTCCGCCTTGGAATGGCTGATGGGTTCAAACTACCAACCTTCTGGTTAGCAGCCAAATGCTTTAACCACTATGCCACCAGAACTCCTCTAAAGGGTCACTATGAGTCAGAAGCAACTCAATGACAGTAGACTTGTCAGGGTTTGGGACACCTGAAGTATCCAATTATTTGATTCACTTTCTGTAAATAAATCTATAACTTATTTTTGTAAACTTTACCACATTTCTTTTCTATCCATATTAATAAAAATATATAACAGTCATAAATATTAAATTATCTTCATAGTATTCATATAATTTAAGAATATTTTTACCATAAATATAGGGAAATTCTAAGAGAGAAATATTACTTTGTTTTCAGAGCATTTAACCTTCTTATTTTCAAAAACACCTTAAAATATTTAATACTATCAAGGTCCCTCTCCAGATATAGAGCAAACAAAGAAATGAGTGCCTGTCACCTTACAAATGAGGAATAAGACTTTCAATTTTATCAAATTACAATAAAATCCAATTTTAAAAACAGATTTCCACCCAAGCTGAGATGTTTATAAAACTTGATAGTAACATTTCTATAATAGTCTTTAATCTTTGTGTCAAATCAAAGTCTGAATGCGAGTCAAAGTAACTGATATAAAATGAAGTATTTGCTTGTAAAAGATAAGTTGTCCACCCACCAAATGTTTCAAAAATATTCCAAGATTTATAAGCACTGCTCTGGTTCCTGATACAGTTAGAAAGAAAAAAAAAGGGGGGGTTCATATTTCAGTAAGACTTTATTTCCCCTTTTTCCAAGAAACACACACCTTTTATTTTCTACCACACAGGAATTCAGTAAAAGAAAAGGAATTAGCCAGAGGCTTTTCAATTATGAGATTAAAAATGCAACAAATTTAGCAACACTTACTGATACAGACCTGCCCTCCAAACCACGGTTAAGACAAACCACCTTAGCCCAGGTGTCTCTGCCAGGAAGGTGAAAGTAACACTAGCAAAACGGCAGAAGGACAACTAAAACGCTTACATGCTACCCTGCTACATCACTGACCTCTTACATACGTACACAGAACTTCGACCAGTCTAAAAGTATTTCAAATTTCCATGAGTAAGTCATTTCATCATTTTAATTTCTCCAAAATAAAAATGTTTAAGTGCAAACACAGATTGACAGATTACTAGATTATTAATACTGCCTTGGAAACCCAAGGAGGGGTCGCTATGAGTCGGGTCCGACTCAGCAGCACATAACAACAACAACAACAACAGATTATTTATACATATACTCAATGAGTATAATTATACTATAAATCCACTTTCTCCAAATTAATTCATTCAGTTTTCTAAATTTAAACAACTGTTTCCTTTAGATTTGGATTTTAGAAAACCATTTACTTTTTCGAAGTCTATGCTGGTTTGGCCAATCTTATCCGCTAATGACCTCTCTCCATTAGGCGGACAAACACGGAACTGAATTAGGAGAAGAAAAATGCGTTAAATCCCTTAAGGCTGATTTTCCAAATTCTTCCTCTAAATATCTTGCTCTTCTTAAAATGCTTCTGACATGCTCACACAGAGCCCTGGGCCTTCACTGCTGCCTAGCCTCGAATTTTATGTCTGTGGCAGAGAAGAGGCGTGAAGCAAGAAATATCAACAAAACTGCTCGATAAATCTTCAAGAAAGTGGTTTGAGACAGTTTTCACTTCACCAAGTCACATACATATCAAGAACTCTTTTAGCAGAACCTACGAACCAACCTCCATTTAAATCCTAAACTGGAAATGTGGCAGAGAAACTAGGGGGCTTTTCTCCTCCTATGGAAGCACACAAGTCTTAGGAACACGTGGACCACCATTAAACTCTACAACTGCTGGAGAGACAGCACTGCTCTCCGGCACAGCTTTCAAAGCAATTCAAGAGTGTCCCATTGGCTGGCATGCAGCTAAGACGCATCCCATAAAACGCAGCTATTCAGAAAGTAAGTTGCCCCACTTTAAGCCTAAAAAGAAATGTCTTGTTTGATGACTTAAAACTTGGGTTGACTTTATTAAAGCCTCTTCTACAAACAGAAAACTTAACATACCCTAGGAAGACAATCTTTCACTGGCAAAAGAGATCATTTCAGAAGCAATGCAAGGAATTCAGACCACACGGACTTCTTCTGGGCTCAAGCATCACCTCCCAACTGACACTAAACTCAGCCTCAGTCGTGTGGTTCTCCCTCTTCTTTCCTCACACCCAATTTTTTGGTCACTGAAAACCACCAATTCATTTATTCAAACATTGTATTTAAATAACTCAAACAAACAACGCAACGCACCGCCATGGAGACACAGCGACCCCTGCTAAGGTTTCCGAGGCGGTATCACAACGCAAGTAGATTACCGGACTTTCCTTCTGAGAAGTAGCACAGTATATCAAAATACATAAATATTAACATAACAATGTACAAAACACTATGAAGTGATAGAGAAAGAAATAGAGCCAAAAAGACACAGGTTACTCTCAAGCAGTCGAGTTTGTTTAGGTCAAAGTCTTTCATTCTCAGAGGACCTAAAAAAAACTTAAAACTAAAATATACTTCTCAAAATTGTCAAAACTACCTAGCTATACAAGAAGGTTAGATAATTGACATCGCAAATAACATTTTAATAAGTTTGTAGCTTTTATCCTTAGAAGTATATTTAAGCTTTAATGCTTAAATCTAGTATAATGCTTAAAACCACACTTAAGCAAGAAAATGAAATAAAAGGCATCCAGATAGGAAAGGAAGAAGTAAAACTATCTCTATTCATAGACGATACTATTTTCTATCTAGAAAATTCTAAAGAAACTATGAAAAAAACTATTAGAAGTGATAGACAAGTTCAGCAGGGTTGCAGGATACATATACAACTATGAGACCAGAAGAACTAGATGGTGCCTGGCTACCACTGTCATCCACTTGGAAGGGTTCTATGAGATCTCCTTGATAGAGATGGAGAGGGAGAACAATATGGAACAAAACTCAAAATCATTTGGAGGGGAAAAAAAAAAAAAGGTGGGGACCAGGTTTGCTGATCCAATAGAGCCTGGTGGAACCACTGAGACTATGGCCCCGAGCTGCCCTTTAGGTTTGGAATTGAACCCACACCTGTGGTTTTCAACCAAACAAAAGACAGGCATATGAGTTGAACATTTACCTCAAGTCAATACACTCCTTGGAGAGAACAATCATGGGAGAAAGAAGGGCTGCTTATACACAGGGAGACAGCTCAGGGTGTAGGAGTGTACGGAGGGATGGACACTGGGAAGAGGTAACTATGGGGAGGAAGTGGGAGGGGAGCTGTTGCATTGTGGTAAACTGTGGTCAATGACATGAGACAAAGTATATGTGAACTGCTGCATGGAAAGTGAATTTGCTCTGTAAATCTTCACCCAAATCACAATTTAAAAAAAAAAGTTGCA